AGTGGCTGGACCATTTTGCCTTTCCAACAGCAGGGTAGGAGACTCCCTTTTCTCCACTGCTCCTCCAGCATTTGTTGTTTGCAGGTTTTTTTTTTTTTAATGTGGAGCATTCTTACTGGTGTGAGGTGGCATCTCTGTGGTTTTGATTTGCATTTCCTTGATACTAGTGATGCTGAACCTTTTTTCTCTGCCTGTTGGCCATTTGCATTTCTTCTTTCGAGAAGCGTCCTTTAACTTCTGCCCATTTTTTGGACTGGATTTTTGTTTTTTTGAGTTGTGAAAGCTCTTTGTAGATCTTTGATATCAGTCCCTCATCTGTCATATGGTTTGCAAATATTTTCTCCCATTCAGCGGGGTGTCTCTTTGTTTTGATTATTGTTTCTTGCTGTTCTGAAGATTTTTATGTTTATGGAGCTCCAACTGTTTACATTTTACATTCTCCTTTGTCTTCTTTGCTTCTGGAGAAGAATCCTTAAAGACGTTCCTGAGGATTGTGTCATGGAGTGTTTGACTGCGTTCCCTTCTGTGTATTCTATGGTGCCAGGTTTCACATGCAAGTCTTTCATCCACTTGAGTTGGTTTGTGTGTACTGTGAGGTAGTGGTCTAGTTCCATTCTTTTGCATGTTGCAATCCAGTTTCCCCAGCACCATTTATGGAAGAGGCAATTCTTTTTCCAATATATATTATTTGCTCCTGTGTCATAGGTTAGTTCCTCATTGTTCTCTGTGTCTGTTTATGTTCCAATAAAGATTTCATTATAACAGCTTTGTAATATTGTTTGATGTCTGGGAGTGTAATACCTCCTTTCTCCACCACACCTTTTATTCAGAACTATCGCTACTAGAGGTTTTTGTGATCCCATGTGAATTTGAACCAGTTTGGTTCCATTTCATTGAAGAACACCACTGTAATTTGTATTGGAATTGCATTGAATCTGTAAATTGCATACAAATGGGAAGTCCCACCTAGGTTTGTTTTGTTTTTCCAATTATGGAGCTTTCATAAAACAGAGTGTTAATAAAAAAGTAGGTTTTATTTTCTATAATTTCTAAAAAGGTGTTATTTTCTATAAATTCTAAAACAGACAAAGTAGGTCTGTTGTCTAGAGATGAAGAAAGAATGTTTCAGATTGAACGACAAAGGCATTTTATCAGGTAATAGATGACGAGTTTCTGATCGTATAATATTCGGCTATTCTTCCACTTTTCTGTGGCTGAAACTAAGTAAGTTCATCCTTTTCTCATCTGCTTTATGTGCCACTAGAGAAAATGTTGCACTCAAGTGACATAATTGCAGGATAGTGCCAGTGTGCTTTATAAAGCAATGAAAGAGATGAATTAATTCAGGAAATTCAAAACATGCAACTTTAAAACAGGAAATTGATAATGAATTTAGAGCCACGTCTCTGGTCACCTGTGCCTGTGAAATCCACGATCCTCGATTGTGGGCTGGTCACCAGCCGCTGGACAAGGCAGGGGCAGACTCACTCATCCGTAGACTGTCCTTTCTGAACCTGGGCCTGGGGTCTGAATTTGTACCTGGCAAGAAAGGGCATGTCACTGCTGTCCTGGGCGGGCTGGTTCATGTCCCCGTTTCTTTGACTCCTGGGGAGAAGAAAGGGAGGAACCATATGTTTCCCGAGGGCTCTCTGTATTCCTTCCCTCGGTCCTCGCTCCCTCACAAAAGACAACCTGTTGTGTCATGTCATTTATTTACAGCCTCAAAAACCTCTTCAGTGGCTCCCACTATCCACACTCAGGCTAAAGTCCAAGCATCCAGACAAGATTGTGAGATTCTTGCCATCGGCTCCCGCTGTCTCAGGCCTGTGGCCCCTCTCTGACGACCTCCTGTGTCAGGTGCCCCTTCCAGGGAAAACTGTGGCATCTCAAGCTCCCTGTCACAACTCTTGCAGCATCTGTTGAAGTTCCCTGTGTCCCTTATGCCTCCTGAGGGTGCTCTGAGCTGTGAGCTCAGCTCAGCTCATGTCCTTGGCATCTAGCATACAGTGGGTGCTTGGCAACAACAGGTGAAGGGGTCGTGTCTACCTGCTGAGTCGAGGGGATACTGGAAACTGAGGCTCTGGTATAGGAGGAAAAACCTATATCCCCCACCCCGGGCCTACCAGAGCCTAGAACCTTCTATTTTGGGAGAGGGGGTCGTCTCGGTGCTCTTGTCAGTCAGTTCCTCTCTCTCCTTATTCAATGTAGGTGGAAGCGCAGACCTGGGGGGGAAGTGCTGGTGCAGCCCTGCCCAACTCTCTCAACTGTCAGGGTCCTCGGAGCCAGGAATGACCCTGCCAGGCGGGCACTAATCCATCGTGGACAGAGGGGAGGGTGCAGTTGTCGCATCCCCAGGGCGGGGCTTCCAGCCATGGGGAGGACAAAGGTGCTCAGAGAGTCTGTGCAGCTTCTGTCCCAGGCAGTGACCAGCTCCAGTGGGACCCGGGATGTGGTGGACACAGTTGCAGGGCGAGGCTCCTGGGTGGACCACGGTGAATTTATACCTTGTTCCATTGTATCCTCTGCTCAGAGCACTCAGAGCACAGCAGTGATCAGACCTTCCCATGCCCGTGGGTCTCCTGGGGATCCCCTCACAGTGTGGGTTCTGACCCAGTGGGGTGCTCAGGAATGAATCCGGACCTCTGTGCTCCTCCATGACCAAAACACAACCTGCCTGAGCCTGGTGGTTTTCCACATCCAGCCCTCCCTACCCTGTGTCCTCCCGATCATTGCCCCCCTCACTCTGTCTCTGGTGGATCCTCTCACTGTCCACAACCCCTGCATTGCTGGTCTGTACCCCAACTCTTATATGCATAAATAAATAAATCTTTAAAAAAAAAAAAACTCTATAAGACCACAAACGATGCTGACTTGAGGTCAGAACCTGTCCTGGTAGACAATTTCTATGCTCTGGGTGACATTTATGCTTGCTGTCTGCATCTCAGGGGAGGATTTCTCTTTACCCTCCCTGGACTCTAATATGTACAAGGCAAGGCCATGTCTTTCAGGTTTTGTTTCCTGTACTAAGCACCTGCTGTGCTGGGCTTGCAGAAGGAATCATACATGTTTGTTAATGGCATTATATCCCATTCACTCATCCCATCTATACTGATCAGTATCAGTCAGTATCAAAATGCATGTATCATGCAAGAGAGAAAAACAGACCCCAGAGTACAAGGCAGAGATGGTTTGAAATCCAAAGTGCTTTGGTGAACCTCATACAAAAGCATCAGGTGTGAGTCATAGATGAATTTACAGGGACCCCTGATTCCTGGATTTGCACTACCCCACTCAAGTCTATACTACTTGTATGAGCCCTTTACAGAAATAACGTGAACTTTTTAAATTGTTCTAAGTATACATATAAAGGCTATTTCTCTGCCCTATGCACCAAAGCGAACTTGTCTTCCTCGGCATCAAATGCTTCATGTCCGTCCTCTCTGAGAACAAATTTAACTTCAGTAGGTAAACCTTTAACTCTCTGGCTCTGGGTTTTATTTTCCTAACAATTAAGCTGCCATTTCATACTGTCCACAGTCTTCCACTTCTTTCATTTTTGGAGTATATCAAGTTGGGATAAATTATAAATTTGACTCACTCAAGATACCAACTGAAATCATTATTCTATTTTATCAGTGTCCAGAATGTAAACAAGCAGGGCAGATATGTTCTTCAATAAAATCAGTGTTATGTAATGGAAGGCTGTGATTGCTTAGTATAATAAAACTGCAAGCAGGGTGACCATGTGGTGTCAGTCACAGAACCTAATGCAGACACAAAAATAGAGTCTCAATGGGCGGGACTAGATCTAGAGAGCACAGATGTTTTGGTGGAGGGACATTCATTATCTACTGAGTGTTTGGTGTCCTGAGTCCACCTGGGGCAGGCTTTCCTTGGAAGCATGAAGTTGTCTATCAAAGTCTTGCTCTGGATGTTTCACCTGAAGCCCAGCTTCCCCTTTCTCACCCCCATTCTAATTCAGCCCCCATTGTGTCCCACTTTGCCCAAGGCAGTCCTGGGAAATGATTCAATTCCTTCAGGAAACCCATCGTGTTGTAGAAGAGATGAGGTCTATTACCTTGAATCTGTAGGTGACAGTGGGTGCCAGCACTTGATGTTAATGAATTTTGAGTGCACAGCTGGAAAAGGAAGTGTGCTAATTAGCCCTGACTTAATGGATGCTGGACTAGGTAGTGTTATATAATCACCATCTCTGGTGCAGTCCTCATTTAAAGCTGAATGCATTTTAAGCACGTAGGGCCCCTCGCATGATTTTTATTAACATCTCTAGTTTTTTCAGGTTTATTGTCTTTTTATTGTATTTAGTTGTTTTGGTTTACAAAGTAATTATGGTCTCCAAAAATGAATTGAGTTATGCATGAGAGGCAATACGGAGGCTGAGTGAAGACACTGGGCTCACCGCCACCATAAACTCACAACACTGTGCAGGACAACATTGATGCCCCTGAAAGAGAAATGGTTGACCAGGGCACACACCAGGAGCAGGGACCAATGGCAAGAAACTGGAAAATTTTTAACTGACCTGCACCTACAGTTATACTGGAGCAGATTTAAACCCCCTACAGATGTGGACTCGGGCACACAAGCCACATTAGGACGTTTGTAGACTCAGAACTTCCCTCAGTGCTGGGTTCAACCCGCTGGGCCATCCGGGAGGCCCCATTTTTGAAGATACCATACCAATTCTTTGCAGCTCGGAGTGTCTTTCTGATGGTACAAAGTTCATGAATACTTCATACCTATAGAAGCACACACTTGCCACACTCATGTAGACTCACATTCACACACTTGAACACAGTGCAAGACATACACATACACCTAAAGAAAATAGTACAAATATCTTATTCCATACTCACTGCTTGTTCTGCTTCACACTCCTGTGTCGCTGTCTTATTAGCATGTAACCCCTCTGACTTTTCTAAAATTTTCTAAATGATTTCCAAAATTTTCTAAATTTTCTAAACTTTTCACTGCTTATTACAAGAATGTTAAAGGATTTTTAGTTCTCTGACGTCTGATGTGTTGGAAGTGTGGGTGCAGTCATAAACGGGGAGCAAACACGGTCGGTTTCAAACACCAGTTTAATGTGTCCTGGGATAGACATTTAAACTAAACCATCCATTTCAGACTGTCTCCTCCAGGTGGAGAAAGAGCGTCCAGATGCCTCCACGCCCCAGTGCCCCGCAGGTAGAGCAGGTCACCTGGAGGTGCCCCTGCAATGGGAACCAGTGTGTCCACGGTGACCGCCTCCTCACACCCTCTGGGACCTGCGTGGGAAGAGCAGAGCCAGTGAAGCCCAAGCACAGAGGAGGATCTTTCCTTAGTGACATCCCCCAGAAGTGCTGCAGGGACTCAGATGCGACAAAGTGCAGATGGAAAACAGGAGGCCCTACCGAGGCACCACTCAATGGTGGGTGAGCGATTCTCCAACTTGGAATCTACGTTGTGAAAAGGGGCCCAGTCCACGGGGACTTCTTACCATGGATGTCATTCCCTGACAGCGCCAGTCAGCCTGAAGAGCTCCTGCATTGTCTGTACCATCCGGGTGCCCAGGGGCCACCAGCAGGGCCCTCACGGGATAGAACCTAAGATAGGGAAGCAAATCCCTAGGGTCCCAGCCTCTGGCCACACACCTCCAGTGCCATCCCGGGCCCTGCACCTGCTCAGCTGCCCCAAGCCCTCCTCTCCCCCCTTCCTCCACTCTGTTCCCCTCCAGGTGCTTCACCAGACCCGTTGCCCTCAGGGACCTTCACCTGCTCCTGGGACTGTTTTGCTTGCGGACGTCTGTGCTCCACGCCTATGGTCTCATGCTGCTCCTGGCCCCTCTGGCTGAGCCCAGACCCTGACCCCTCTCCGGGGCCTCGGCCTCCGCTGGTGTGCTCCTTTCACCATGGCCACTGGGTGGCTGCCCTGGAGCGGGGAAGTGAATTCTGGGGAGGTGCTGGTGAGGATCCTAATCCCCAGCAGGGTGAACTGTGGATTGTTGTTTTCCTCCGAAGGGTACACAGCAAATGCAACATTTTAAAATCCTATTAAGGAGTCCTCGAGCTCTGGCCTTGTAGCCTCTGAAGGAATGAAGGGTGGAATGGGAATTGTGTTCATGGCCCAGTGTCTGCAGGGGCCACCATTCTTGGGGGAGGTGTTCGGGTGGTGCTGGGGGGCTAGGCTGGAGGTCTTCCTGCTGGTTTCCTTGCCCCCCTCCAGCTGGGGGCCTGGCAAGGTGGTGCTGGGCCGCAGGGCTTCCTCCTGCAGGGGGCCTGGCAGTGAGATGGTGTTGGGCCCCTAGGCTTCCCGCAGCATGGGCCCTGAACTGGAGGCCATGCAGGGCTTCCAGGCGTCCGGCATCAGGGGCCCTGAGCTGGGGACGGAGCTCCGCATGCCGGTGTCCTCCTGCGGGATGCCTGTCCTGGAGGTGGTGGTGGGCTTCTGGGCATCTTGCTTTGGTAACACTCCCACCTTTAATGTCTCGTGCACCGAGACCTCAGGCTGCAGATGGTCTTCTGGCATCAGGAAGCAGTGGGCCCCATCGGGACTCATGCGCTTGGGGGAGATGGCAGGTTCCGGCCCCTCCTCATCTGCCCGCTGCCTGGATAGCAGCATGAGGTAGGTCCCCATCACATCATCGTACCTGGCCTCCAAAAGCACCATGTTGATGACCTCTTTCCCCAACCCAAGGTGGTCCATGGTTTCCATTGTGGCCTTGTGCTGGCCCGGGGTTGGCTCAGGGCAGGGCAGAAGTCCATTTGTCAGCCCCACCCAGCGGTGCTTGAAGATGCTGTACAGGGTGCTGCAACTCTGGGGGTCGAGCATCACCATCTTCCTCAGTAGGTCCTGGCACTGCTGGGAGAGGTAGTGTGGCTCGTGGTAAATGCCACTCAGCACCCTGGCCTGCAGCTCCCCGAAGCTGTTGCCCTCGAAGGGCAGCTCCCCGGTGACCACGTCGTAGAGGACCACCCCCAGGCTTCAGACGTCTGCCGCGGGGCCACTGTACTCCTGGCGACGGAAGAGCTCGGGGGCCCGCGAACTCCGGGCTGCCGCAGGGGGTCTTGAGCAGCGCCGTCCTGGAGAACTGGGCGCTGAGCCCAAAGTCTGCTAGTTTTATGTTTCAGTGCCGGTCCAAGAGCAGGTTCTTTGGCTTCAGGTCCCGGTGCGCCACGCCCCGGGCATGGCAGTGGCTGAGCGTGGCGAGGATCTGCCGGAAGAGGTGGCGCACCTCCATCTCCACCAGGCGCCCGCACCTGCACAGGTAGTCCTCCAGGTCGCCCCCCTGCGCATGCTCCAGGACTAGCAGCACCTCGTCCTCGGTGTCCACCACCTGGGAGAGCTTGAGAAAGTTCGGGTGCCGTAGGACTTTCATGCAGGCCACCTCACGGGCCAGGAACTTGTCGCGGTTGCCGCCCTTGGGCACGATCTTTATAGCCACCTCCATGCCCGTGGGCAGGTGCAGCGCCAGCTTGACCTTGGCGTACGCACCCTCTCCCAGTTTGCGGAGCATCACATACTGTCTCAGGGCCATTCCCTGGGCAGAAGGGCGCATCCGGGCAGTGAGGGCGGACCCGCTCTTACGCTCGCAGGCCCTGGCTGTCTAGAGCCCTTGGCACTAGCTCCACTACTCGATTAACAAGTGCACTATTAGCCTAGAGCTAGTAGTACGTGAAAAGGATCCCAAAACTAACTAAATGCTCCCCACGCTCACTACTCTACCGAAACACTAAGGACGCTAACTTACTGCTAACAGAAATACTAACTATGCTAACCTAACTAGGATACTATTACTAACTAACTAACTAACTACACACTCAAAAATGAAAACACACAACCAAAAAATTAACAAAGATAAATATTTAAAAATATAATAAAAAAACAATAACAAACTAACCACTAAAGTTAAAAAGAACACAGAGAAAACAAACCACAAACGAACAAAGAACAATTACAAACTAACAACTAAAATAAAAAAAAAGAAGACAACAAAGGGGAAAAACAACACACAAAAAAATAACAACACGAGGGAAAATGGGGGAAATAAAAAAATAAGAAAAAAAAATTAAAATAATGAAAAATAAAATAAGCAAATAATAAAACAATAAAGGAAAATAAAAAAAAAAATAAAAATAAAGAAAATAAAGAAAATAAAATAACTAAAATAAATAGCTAAAATAAATAACTGAATAAGAAATAAACAAAGCAAAAGCAATCCAATCCACCAACACGCCTCTCTCTCCCTCCGAGTCCACCATCACGATCCCAACAATCCTTGATCTACCTTCACAGTTGCGGGCTGCGCGGGGCCTTAAGTAGGCTCCGCGGGTGACGTCACAGAGCTCTTTGTGGCGTCAGAGCAGAGGCCACGCCCCCGGCAGTGGGCACCCCGGGGGCCATTCAGCCTTCACGGGACAGCACCCGCCAAGAGGTGTGTGGACAGACTCCCTGGAGACTGGATTCAACCCCGTTCCAGAAGCCCGCAGGGTGTTGGTGAGGCCAGGTCTGTCGCGAGCGACCTGTCCCAGGTTTCGGCTTTTAGTGTCTCTGCACAGTCCCGCTCAAACCCTGATGCGTCTCACAGGACACGACACATCCACGGGCACAATAAACGACACCATGTTGGGAGCATGAGACGCGACAGAGTCCGCTCTTCACACCCCGACACTGAAAACTCTCTGGGACATGGTTCCCCCGTTTGGCCGACGAGCTGCGTGTGCCCCTCGGCGTCCTCGCAGGCCGGAGGCCAGGGCGGCTCCCAGAGCGGCAGATGCTGTAAAGCAGGCCCTGGAGGGGGTGTCCACGCCCCCCCCTGCCCCCCGTGCTGTGGGGACACCCCCTGACCTGACTCAGCCGGGGCTGGGGGCAGCTGGGGCCGGTCAGCTCCCCCCGAGATTTCTGGCTTAGAAATATCTGCGTCTGGGGCTCCCGTTGGCGCAGCGGGTTGAGCGCAGCGCTGTGGAGCTGTCCGCACCTCTGCAGCACCGGTTCGATTCCCGGCCTACCAGGGAGGCGAGCAGACCTCTTCTTTCCCGCCTGCTGCGCCCCTCAGCAGTGTATTTTTTCAGTCTGCCTGTTCTGCTCCCCGTTCTGTCTCTGGTGATTTCTCTCACCCTCTCGCACCACTGGCCTGTATCCCGGTTCTTGTATAAATATATCTTTTTAAAAGACTATTTAAAGGCTGAGAAACCGCTGGGGGTTCCCTCTGCCAATGACTGTGGCCTCTGGCTCTGACGCCACAAAGTGCCCTTGTGACGGCACCACCGGCAACGCCTACATCAGGCCCGCCCGGACTGCGCCTGTGTCCTCAGGAGCCAGGAAGCTTTGTTGGAGACACAGGAAAAGGTGTGTGTGAGTGTGTGTTTGTGTGTGTGTTTTGGGTATGTATACATATAGTGCATCAACAGATAATTAATTACCTGTGCCATTAAAATTTCATGATTAGGGAAAAAAACTTTTAATATCTTATCCCTTTTATTTTACTTCCTAAACTTTAAGATAGTTTAGTTTTTTTTTTTTTTCAATTGCTAGTATACTGAGCTACTGTTCCTTTTTGAGAGTCTAAAGTATTTATTGCTTATACATAATGGAACTTTTTGCGTCCTTAGTTTTAGTGCAAAGGTAGCATCAAAATCTTGAAGAAGGCCTCCCTGGTGGTGCAGCGGTTGAGCGCTGGGTTGTGAAGCACCCCGCAGCCTCTGCGGTGCCGGTTCGATCCCTGGCTGCTCCCCGGCAACCTGAGGAGAGTCCCACATGGAGCACAGACCTCTCTTGCCACCCACTGCTCCCCTGTGCATTCCGGACGCCGACAGAGAGAGTGAGAGCGTGTTTTGCGGTATTTGGTTTTATTTGCCTTCCCTCGGCTCTAGCCTGTAGGTCCCTATCATTTGTAAAATGAACCCCAAGGTACTTCTGTATCCTTGTAGCATCCCAAGCAAGTGAGGAAGGAGAAGACACATGGGCCTAATTGATGGAGACCTGCTCCAGCTGAATGTCATGTCAGGAGTCCCTGAAAGGAAAGAACAGCGTCGGCGAAAACTTGGGGGGCTGAGGGGAAGTGGAGTGAGGTAGACCCAGACACTCTCTCTGGTGCAAGAATCCCCTGCTGAGGGTCTCAGCGGGCCTTTATACAGTAAGGCAAGCAGTGAAATTACATCAACATAAACATCAAAGCAGAACAAAGACAATCATTACATATTTTCTCATGAACATACAGTGACTCCCTTGGTCTCATACCAAAAGGGCATTTCTTTGGTTACCTTAAAAAACATGAGGGACAATTAGTTTTCTTAGTACATCTCATTTTCTAACATGATCAATTATTTCAGACAGCACAACATTTGCTGACAATCATTCTATTAAACTTTCCTACTTTTGGAGTGGGTGTGAAAGCCCTAGTCTATATTCTATTACTGAAATCAACCTATCTCCTTAGCACTCAATTAACTTGGCTAATTTATCAATTACTTCAAAGTGGCCTAAAGCAACTCATCAAATCTATGTTAGTTCTACTGAAGTCTAACTCTTAACTATAAATACCTAACCTCCACACAGCCTGTGAACTACTGACCCTTTGCATGCACCAGGAAATGTACTGCTGCCGCAAACACATACCCCATGGGTTAGGCTATGGATTCCAAGAACAGCTGGTTCAGGGCAGCTTGTTCTCCATAATTCTCAGTGCCAAAACATTTCTTTCCTGACTATACCTTTAGCATTTTTTACTTTCTTTAGTAATGATTAAAGCATAAGAACAATAAACTAATTATCATCTAGGTCCAAATTAGGTTTTTACAAGCCAAATTATAAGTAACTTACTTCTGCATTAACCAAGAACAAACATGAAAGCATTAGCAGGCGTTGCCATGGAGACTCGCTAGTTCAGATCTTCTGGGAAGTGCAGGAACTCCACTCTTCTTGTAAGTCTCCCCCAATGTCCGGGCCTTGTCAAGAGACAGCATGGGTGGGTAGCGCGGCCTGCCACACCTAATGAAAAAAAAAAAAAAAACTTGTGTTCAGTCAGCATAATCTGGAGACAGCCTGAGAAAACAGCAGGAAGAGCAATTGGCAGGACTAGGAAGTGTCATGGAAGTGGACACCTCAGGGGAGAGGCATCATCAATGCCCACCTGATCTATTGAGTACATGGAAGAATCAAGGTACACACTCACCTTCATATCAAGGTAAAGAGTTTTTGCATGGTAGGCAAATAAAAAAGATTTCATTGAGAGAATAAATAATATGATTATCAGAAGTGATTCTGATAGGAAAAGGACTAGGCAGCTACAGCTCCAAAGCTGTGTCATGCTTACAGCTCTGTGATTCCCAGGTGTAAGAGGAACACAGCAGAAGTGCTGCTCCTTGGTAACCTGACCTGGTCTGCTGCTCACCAAGCATCAACTCAGACACTCGCCTGTTTTCTTTGGGTTTCTGTGTTCTACACAGGAAGACATATAAGACATGACACCGGCTTCTCAGTGACCTTTTGTTTATGAGCACATTGGCTGTAGCAGTTTTGGCAGCCTGTGGTGTAAGCCACAAACTTCCTCATCCCTAAATAGTGATACAAAATGGCAAAGTTTCATTCATAGACATTTAAGTGAACCGTACACGATGGCCACTCGTTTTAACCCTTGATTATCTCCCTGCAATCTTAACTAAGGTACCTTCTACATATTCTTTAATATCTGTGGTTCACATAAGATCACATAAGACTTATTCATTTCAGCAGAAACACCCACATACCCTGCTAACAGTAAAGACTGTCTTCCCAGAACATGAGCATAGCATTGGTATGTTAGGGATACACAGACCTCAGCCTGCTTCGCTCATAAAAATTCTCGATACAAAAACTATAATCTTTAAATTGTAAAGATTCTTCTTTTTAAAAAAAATATTTATTTAGGTGCCTCCCCTGGTGGGGCAGGCAGTTGAGTGCCACGCTGTGAAGCTGTCTGCAGCCTTTGCAGCGCCGGTTTGAACCCCGCCAGCCGGTGAGGGTCCCACATGGTGTGGCAGACCTCTCCTGTCTCACCTGCTGCTCCCCTCAGCAGTGCATTTCATCAGTTTGCCTGTCCTGTTCCCCACTCTGTCTCTGGCGAATCCTCTCACCCTCCCATGAATCTGGCCTGTACCCTGGATCATAAATAAACAAATAAATAAATAAATAAACAAATAAATAAAAATTAATTAATAAATAAATATTTTTAAAAAAGATTTATTTAGGGCCTCCCCTGGTGGCTCAGCGGTTGAGTCCTGGGCTGCGAGGCTGCCCACAGCCTCTGCAGCACCGGTTCTTTCCCCGGCCCCTGGCGAGAGTCTCACTGACAAAAAAAAAAAAAAAAGATTTATTTATACAAGAACTGAGGTACAGTCAGAGGCAAGGGAGGGTGAGAGAATTCACCAGAGACAGAGTGGGGAGTAGAACAGGCAGATGGATCAAAGACACTGCTGAGGGGAGCAGCAGGCAAGGCAGGAGAGTTCGGCTTTACCCTGTGGGTTGCATCCCTGGCTGGCCAGGGATCGAACCCACACTGAAGAAACTGCGGACAGCTTC